GATTGAGCTCGCAGCTAATATCCCTTGCTCTCAACATACTGGTAGCAGCTAAGTGCTCACTGGCAACACGTAAGTGAGAGCGCTAATGATAAAATAACATAAGTCAGCACGGTGTAAGCCAGAAGGCATCTATCTGCAGAAAGACAACAGGTCACATTTGATACAGTGGGGAACAGTGCTGAGCTCAGCCGCTCTTCACTCACTGGCACATTCAAGACTGGAGGCAAACAAGCACCATCATTGTCTTAGGGCCATATGTCCCACACAGCGAAACCTCTGCTACCACAGCTGTCACTTAGGATTTTAATTCATCCTTTCACATTTCAGCAGCCCACTAAACCCAAAGAGCAAGAGCACTTGACAGACCTGTTCCAGGCTATTTAAGGGTCAGTGCCTACCCTGCAGTTTTCCATGGCACAGAGGTACCTAAATTAGACCAAAAAGAGCAAGAGCAGGGATTGGAAGCTGCCAGCAGCACCAACTAGTCTGTCCTGCTTCTCAGCGCCTCTCACGCTGGCTCGCAGACCTCTGTGCCTTGGGCAACCCCGACTCACTGTCGCACCCCCACCATACCCTGCGGGTGGGAGATCAGGGTCATCAGCCAGACTCCATGTACCACGGTCAGTTATCCCAATGCCACTATAGCTGTGACATTCATTTCCTCTAAACCAGGCAGCCAGGACAACTGAATGGAGCACATCCACATCAAAGAGCTACTCTCAGATTCAAAGAGCTACAAACTCCAGGCGCTACAAACTGCAAACACGATCCAGGCACAGCAGATCCATTCAAGTTCCTTCTCAATAAGGAGCTGCTGGTAGGACAGGCTAAATAATCTGCAGAGGCTCACCCGGTCTTGGCCAGGGAACATGGGAGAGCGAGTGCCATTAGTTAGACCGTGCATCCTCATTCCTCACCTCGGATGTGCTCAGCACCCAAGTCTTCACTCTCTGCGAAGGAGAGGTGCGCTATTTGTTTACACAACATTTACAAAGCCTCAGCACAGTCCACCTTGGGATTACTATTCTGTCTCAATCTTTTAACAGGACCAGTTTTGCAGGTCACATCAGCCTTTAAATATCACAGCAAAGTGTTAGCTTGTTTCTGAAGATCATGCCTTGCGCAAAGTCGGAGCAGAGCACAGTGATACGCTTTTGCCATATACCATTTCCTCTAAGCATATGGAGATTAGCCTTCACCTCAGTGAAATTCCTGCAGAACAGGTTAAGTGGCAGTGCTACATATTTAACCTTTCCTTCCCCCTTTCACCCATCCACGCAAGTTTACACTTGAACCAGATCTTGTTAGCCTGAGACACTCTGTCACTGTTTCAGCCAGAATTATTTAGCTGTGCTCCCCCACAATAAGCCGTCTGCAGATCAGGTGATGTGCTTCTCAAGGCTAGAGTTACATTACAAGACAGAAACCAAAGAAAATTACCACAATAGCTTTCTGACCTGCAAAGAGTCCTTCTTTACCAGCTGCAGGGAAATATTTCACAACAAAAACCACTTTCCAGGATTACCATCATACCCTGACACCAAAGCCACCTAACAGCCTGGCTCTATCTTAAGTCAAGGTCCACCTTTAAAACAAACCAACTCTTGTCAAGCACTTTTTCCCCCACATGCTGCTGTTTTTCTCCAATCAAATGTCTTTCAGAAGGTCAATATAGATTACAGAGAGGTGCAATTATAAGCACACAGAACTGTACTTTGAAACCCTGCTCAGCCTGCCACAGAGCGGTACCATCTTCTTAAAATGAGCACAGTTAAAAGTCAAGTTTGCCAATTGATACGGTTTTGTGCCTATAAAAGTACAAAGTAAATACTACTTTGGACTCTATTAAATCTTTGACATTCTATGTGTTAGAGAGGATTAGGCAGGATTTGATCATATCTGATTTGGCTATTTATTGCATTCTGTTGGTTTTATTGCCAGGGTGGTTTGTTTTTTTGTTTGTGTTGATTTTTTCTTTTGAAGTTGGCACACTAAAAAGTTTCCACACAGAGCACTGATATAAGCAATAAAGAATTCATCAGACTAAACATGATGATTATAAGTAAAGAAGTCTTTGGAAGCAGCATGACCAGGACAAACACTGCTGTCGAATACAGGCACATTTAAGTCTCTGAACAAGAAAGTTGCTTCAAAAGCCAAGCTTGACAGCCCCAGATAAAGATATACTCTACTTTTAGGTAAGGTTTTCTTAACTTTACAGAACTTTGGTAGCAGCAGAACCCAAAGAAAAGCATGTTGTGCCGTACATTTTCTCAAAGCCCACCCACAGGGGTCTTCCTCCTCTGCCAGGCAGATGCCAGCTCCCATGCCCCACTGAGGAGAGGAGAGCCCTCAGCACTGCTGCAGCACATGGAAGATGGGAAGGCCCTGAGGTTTAGCTCCCCCTTGCCCCAGCAAAGCCACCTCCCACTACTTCCTACTGCCCCAGCTTGGAGGAACTGCTCGGCCTTGGTTTGGTTTCACTTGACGGCATAAGACAGCCCAGTTAAAGCAGAAATGAAGCCGATTAGGAAATCCAGACCGTGAAGTCACTGTTAGCACAGCTACAGCCGTTACAGCAACAGCAAGAGCTGTAGGTGCACAAAAACCATTCTTTAATGAACAGGGCTACCTTCACCACTGCCATCAGAAGAGTTAGAGCATCCAGTGCCACCACTGGAAGCCAGAAGAGGAGACCCATGCCAAAGGGCAATGTGACCAGCTCTTACCTCCTAAGTTTGAGCTCAGCCTACAGCACTACACCTCATCAGCATTACACAAAGAATATGCTACACTTGGCAAAATGAATGAAGCTGATTACTTGTAGCTTGCTTCCTGCCATACTGTGTTGGAAGCCTGCAATGTTTGTCAAGTTTGACTGGAGAGCACTGGCTCCCAGCAAGGGCGGCCCAAGCACAGCATGCCACCAAAGACCCATGAGCAGAAGGAAGAGCATCGCTGTGGGAAGAGGTGAGAACAGGGACTCACAGGCAACCACAACAGAAAGGGATAACTCAAGTCCAGAGAGGAAGAGTGGATGGAACGGGAGAGAAAGTGAGGGACTAAAACAAGGAATAAAAGCAATAGCGGCAACAAGCTTAGCCCAGTAATTGTGCTAGAACATGGCAAAGAGGAATCACCCAGATGAAATAAGCGGTTGGACAGACGCTGCCTTCTCCAAGAAGTCCCTGTCCTGTTTGTCTACAGTTCAACTGAGAAGTTTCAACATGCCCTCGAGCCTGTAACCCATCATGTAGGATAATCAGGACAGCTAGAGCCACTCTGACATAAATCTTTCAGGAGAGAGCTTAAGGACAGCATGGGAAAGGAGGGAGCTCCTCTTGAAGCAGACCCTGCAGAGAGCAGATGGCTGATTTCAAGAGGCAGCTCCTAGTAAGATTAAGATGCTGTAGGTCTCCCAGCAACCAGGATAGAGGAGGGGGCAGGAGCACATAAACCTTCCCCTCAAGAACAGGTTCAGCAGTGACCTACCCAGATCAGCAGTGCCAAAGGAACTCCTTTGAGAGCTGCAGGATTAGACAGGCACACAGTGAACAGCGCTCAGGGCAGGGATGCTACTGTCTGCTCAGCAAGAGGAACTCACCCAGCGATAGCCAGATCTCGATAGCATTTGCCAGCAGATGATTCGATTACATAAGAAAGCTTTGCCTCAGAAAGGCCAGAGCCCATCCAGATCATATGTTTTAAATTCTTAAAGCGGAGTACTGACGGTCACACAGCTCATTAAGATCGAGCACAACGAACCTCCAGAGGCAGCTACTGTTTCCTCGTCTCACCAGAACACTCACCCCCACCGCTAACTCTCCACCCCTTCTGAGATGGGTGCCACAAGGATATAATTATTTTTCAAACCAGTCAAAGCTTTAAGACTCACTATTCATTTTCACTGCTGTATTTCTCTCCGGAAGATATGGCTTCCTAGAGCAGTGGGAAATACCAACACACTCGTGAGGTGTGCGCACATCGATCCGACCGCCGAGGGCTGGACAGGGCCTCCGGAGCCAGCTCACCCTGCCCCACCGTGGGCTGGGCATCTGCTCAGACTGTTACCAGAAGGCAGTTACACAGCTCTCAGCCCAGCACTCTTTCTCAGGGAACACTAGCCTGAAATACAGCCAAAACTTATTCTTCATTTGAAAGATGGGCAGTTCAGGAAAAAAAAAAACAAACAACCAACCAACAAAAAACAACAAATAAAACAACCCAGTGCTGCTAAGCAGGAGGCTTTCTAGAGCAAGAGAGGAGAGGCTCAGTCATCAGCCTCTGCAAAATGGAAACAACCTTTAAAGGGCTTCAGCCACTTCTTTGGAAGCGGCATTTTGCTAGTGAAAAATTACCCACGGAAGAAAAAAACAGTCTCATACTCTGCCTATTTCTGAGCTGGTTAGTGTGCAGGACATGGGGAAAAACTCTGCCTGAGGGTGGAAACCCAGCCTATTTCAGGGCCCAAGTCTACTCCACAGACTTTACAGGCTTTTTGAAAAAAAAAAAAAAAAAAAAAGTCAGCATCCATCAGCTCCAGGCAGCTACATGGTCACGCTAGAAAACCAAACAAACGGGAGACGCTGCTCCCACCTTCAGCCCACCCACGCCCGCTACCAGAGAGCTCAGCCATCAGCTCCAGGCAGCTACATGGTCACGCTAGAAAACCAAACAAACGGGAGACGCTGCTCCCACCTTCAGCCCACCCACGCCCGCTACCAGAGAGCTCAGGCTGCCACCTGCTCGCCCTCAGCCCACGACTGCAGCCTCCAGCTATCAGACATCGTTACTCATTAATCAGAGAAAACCCAACAGCAGCACCGGCGAGCCCGGGCAGAGCCTCTTCTGGTGCAGAAGAGCCAGGAGGAGATCTCGGCCTCTCACCGAGCACGTTAACCCGAGACGCGCCGTGTTCCAGCACCCTCCAGAGGGGAGGGAAGGGGCAGCTCCCGGCGCAGAGACCCTCGCTCCCCTCCTCCCAGCAAGCCGGCGCTCACCGTGGTGGGACATGGGCAGCACCTCGTTGCCGGTGCCGCGGTAGTTGTAGATGACGGCGGCG